TGCCTGGGAGGGCGGGGCCCTGAGCCTTTGGACCCGCTGGCCTGGCTGGGGGCGGGGTGCTGAATCTAGAGGAGGGGCGGGACCCTGTGGGAGGGGTGGGGCGGGGCCTAAGTGGGAGGGCAGGAAGCTGAGTCTGAGGGGCTGACTAGAGGGTAGAGCTAGTTCAGGATATGTGCTAACCGGGCAGGGCCAGGCTCTAGGGCGAGGAGGCGCGAGAGTGCCAGACGCGGAGTCGAGAGCCTCGCGGCACCCCACGCCCTTTGCTCCCAGGCACAAGGCCTTTCGCGACACGCAAGGGAATCTCACCCTCTTCTACTGGAAGGAAGCTGCTGGCTGTGCGTCTGGGCTTCATCATCGCCTTCGAGGTAGGCTCAGCCAACTGTGCGTTGAACAGACCAGGGTCCAAGTTCAGGCTGTGCCGCCGAATGGCTGTAAATGGGGTATATTACAGAATAGGATCTACTTCATTGGGTCGCTAGGAAGATTCAGTGGCAAGCATCTGCACAGCATAGTAGGTGCTCAGTGAATTAATGTCATGACTATACTAATGTTATCTCTTGGCAGCAGTCCTGGAGGAAGGAGAGGAAGCATGCCCCTTCCAGCTTTGCTTAAGGTTCTCTTTCTCTAGCCCTGACTCTAACAGGGTCCCTAGGGTTAAGGGGTTCGAACTATACCTCTGTGTCTTTCGGCAAATGACAACCTCTTTATGCTTCAGTTTCTTTACAGGTAGAACAGGAGAAGTAATCTACTCACCTCCTAGAGTTATTGTGAGGATTAAGTGAATGAATACCCGAAAATCCTCAGAATAGTGTCTTGCATTTAGTAAACGCTCCATAATTTAAGATTGTTAAGGCAATCGTTCTCTTTGGCCTCCCTTCTCCCCAGCACGTGGTGTTCTTCCTGAGCCTCGTCGTCTGGCTCGTGCCCGACGTGCCAGCCATCCTGGCTACCAAGATCAAGCGCGGGCGCTACCTGGCCAAGCTGGCACTGGCAGACAACCGGGTGGCACTGCTTTCTGTCAGCGCCGCCCGTGGACCCTGGCCCCACCCCCTATGACCACGCCCCTCTACCCGCCCCCAGGGCTAAGCTCAGCTTTCTTGCTCCGCCCTTCGTTTGGCCTCGCCCAGAGAGAGGATTGGCCAGATGCCCTCTAATTTCCACTTGGCCCCGCCCTTCACCCATCCTTGTCACGCCCCTTCTCTTAAATTATTTCCACCAGAGTAGTTTCTGCTCTGGAGGGTCCTCCTGCTCAGCTTAACCTAGCCATGCTTTCTGTTTGCTGCAGCAGGGGCGCTGTCCCTGGAGCCCAGGACGTAGAGGCGAGTGAGGAGAGACTGCCCTTCCACGACGCTAGTTCCCCCAAGATGCTTCCTTCATTGGGGTCCTCTGCTTCCAGCCAGGGGTCTGGGCAGTACCTTGGCCAGCCGCCTCAAGGTTGCCTGGGAGCTGGGATGAGAGGGTTAGGGTTCTCTGAAGACCCCTAGTCCTGCCTTGCCTCTCCATGTTCCCAGTCTCCTGCTCTATGTGCAGTACTGACAATAAACCTCTCTTTGTGCCCCATTGTGACATCTCTCCATGGACACCTGGTCCCTACTCACTCTGTGCAGTGTCTTCTCATTACATGATGATGCTCTGAGGGGCCAAAGTAGACATGAAGGAGTGAAGGGACCTAACCACTCTGAACCGAGTGGTCACCATTTGGTAGGGGAGAGTTCATTAGTGTCTGGGTGTGGACCTCTTATCCCATGCGCTAATCAAAGCCTATAATGTGTAAATAACAATAAAAGAGCTTAGCTAGATCAGCTGAAATACTTCCCAATGGATTTTCACACACTTTTCACCAGATCCTTCCTAAAGCCCAGTGAAGCAGTACTGGGCAGTGGTTAAGGACACAAATTGGTGGTGGAGTCAGACAGACCTGGGTTTGAATATTAGTTTTGACTTTTATTTGCTGTGTGACCTTGGGCAAGTTCAGTCATTATCTGTGAGATAGGGATTTCATAGAGCCGATGGGAGATTTAAATGGGATAATGTGCTTAACCTGTGCAAGCCTCCTTTCCTCATTTGATTAAGTGGGAGAAATAACAGTATCTATCTTCTAAGGTTGCGGTGGAGATTAAATGAATAAATAGATGTGAAGTGCTCAGAAGGGTGGCCGGCACACAGTCAGTGTACAATTAGAATTATTAGCAACATGAGTATTAGTATTTGTATACATAATTGTATTAAGTGCCTGGCAATTACCAAGTGCTCAGATAAATGGCAGGTAGTATTAGGGAGAAAACAACTTCCCAACTTTCTCAGGTTTGTGAAGATTGCATGCCAGGTACAGAGTAGGCCCTCCTTACTAAAGGCTGGTTCTACTTGGGCTATTTGAATTGGTTTTTTGAGGGTTCATTCAGTGTGGGCTAGAGCTTGGGAAGTCTGGTGGAGGAGGCTGCTGGAGGTGGTGAGGTGGGTCATTATAGGCAGCAAGGGAGGATGGATGGTTCATGAGGAACTGGGATGCTGCAAGGCCAGGATGGTGCCAGATGGTGCCAGGATGGTGCCAGATGGTCACATCACAGACTTTTCACAATTTTCGTCTCCCAACCATAGAGACGAGTGTTCCCATTTTATAGATGCTGTAGCCCGCTCTGAGAGAGTCAGTACACTGCAGAGTCCTCAGGGTCCCTGAGAAGTCTAAGGCGTGGGAGTTTCTCTGCAAAGGTCCCAGGATGCTCCCCAGCCCCAAGAAGCCCCCTGCAGACGTTTCACATTTGGGAAGCTCCAGAAGATGGGTGACCTGTCCCCTGGGAGGAAAAGCAGTGCCTCTTCCATCTTTAAGATGTTAGTCTGGGGTCCTTCAGAGCCTCTCCTGGGCATAGGACTCCCATTGTTCCAGCCCCCCTCTTGTACCTCAGACTGGCCAAACCGGTTCTGGGGAAGGGGGCGGGAGCAGGCACGTTGAGACAGCCGCCTGCCCGCCTGCCCGCCTGCGAGGTTCCCTCCGCCCTTGCCTCCCCCCTCCCTGCCCCACACAATACCTGGGATCTTGCATTGCCTGGCTCAGGGGCCATGCTGACATCGCCCCCTGAGGACCTGGCTGCAACCCCAGAGCCCCCAGGGTGGCCTGGAGCCCTGGACGTGCTGGAGGCTGGACGGAGCTCCCTGGCTGAGGTAGGGCCCACCTGGCTGCCAGCAACCCCATCCTCCTCCCGCCAGTTTTCCCAAATGAGTCCTTTGTGCTGCCTGCCCGGCCTCTTATCCTGGTCCCCACACACTTACGGCCTCTTGGGGCTCCACAACCTTCTTGGCCTGGATCCCCTTTCCAGCCATGATCTCCCACTTGGCCTTGTTGGTTATGGAGAAGAGGGGCCCTGCCCGGGCCCTACTCCTCTGAGCAGCAGGACAAGGGGTACCAGGGAGGGGGCAGGGAAAAGCTGGGTATAGGAGGCCAGAGCCTCTTTCCCCAGACTGTGGTAGTGGCCAGGACTCTCTCTGCCATCCTTGCCAAATGGGCCCATTGTCCATGTGATTAACAGTGCCCACTGGATGGGACCCTCCTTGGCCCTGCCCATCCTTCTCAGCCTGCAGAGGCACTTGTGATGACACAGGTTTCCTAGATGGGGTGGCTGGGGTCCTACAGATGGGGACACTCAGGCCCAGGCATAGGCTATGATTTGCCTAAGACCACACAGCTGATCAGTGTCAACACAGGGCCTTGAATCGTTGGCAGGGGTTTTCCCCTGGGGGCTCCAGAATGACCCTTGCCTAGTGGGCACTATAGTATCTCGTGTTCATATCTTGGGCAGGTAATGTCCCTGTTACCTGGGGCTAGTCTCTTCTGGAGATTCTTTTTCTTCTTATTTTTCGCCTAGCAGAGATAAGCTATAAACACTATGAACATAGTTCTGCCCTCTCCTTGGTCCCCAGCATTGAGGTTGAGTGGATCACATCCATGGAAGGCCACAGAGCTGGCATCCCAGCTAGATGGGTCATTCCCATTGCCCCTTGGCCAGGACAGAGGTGGAGGCTGACTCCCTCCTGACTTCCTCCCTAGGGACTAGCCTCCAGCCTGTCTCTCCCCACCCCCCACCCCCACCAGAAGCCTTACACCCCCCCATTTACATAGCCTTCTCCTCTGAGACTTTAACAGTGGGTGCTCCTGCCCCAAGGGTCCCATGTTTTTTGCTCATTTCTCCCTGCAGTTGACAAGGGTGAGGGGTTCTTCCTCGCCCTCCAGGGGCTTCCAGAACCCAAGTGGAGAGAATCTCCCAGAATACAAAGGAGCAGAGGTATGTGTATATTCTGCCACATGTGGACCCACAGATGCAAGGGGGACTTCTGTGTTAAGGACTTGATTCTGGCAGAGAAAGAGACCTGTCTGCTGGGCAGTGGTCCCCTGTGTCTCCTGCCACATGCTTCTGCAAAATAGGGTGTGTCTCACCATCACTGCCTCAGTTTCCCTATCCATGTGATGGCCCAAGCCATCCCTCGACAACAGAAAGACTAATAATCCTCAAAAGAATGATTATCAACTACAAAGCTCCCACTATGTGCTAGGTGCTTTATATGCGTTATTGTTAATTTTCATATTAGTGTTGGCATAAGTATCCTATTTACCAGATGAGGAAACTGAGAGACTTGCTTCCTGTGGGGAGGGCCTGGAGGAGGAACTGTTCCTTAGGAACAGCCACCCCACCCTCACTCCAGGCAGGGGATGAAGAGGACTGGGGGAAAGCAGGTTGAGGGGCTGTGCACAGTGGGGCCCAGTCACAGATCCAGTTGTCCCCTACTGGGTCCTCCCCTCCTTCCCACTCTCCCAGGGTCATTGACACTGTTACTATTTCTCTCATGCCAAAGTTTTCTCTCTCTCTCTGTGCACTGAGTCCCTGGGTTTTCAGCCAGAACAGTTAGCTATTACTTCCTCCACGAAGCTTTCCTGGAATGCCTGGATCAAGATGAGCCCAGAACCCTACTCTGAAGTTTCCTCTGGGTTGGCTCTTGCCAACCTGAATTGTAACTGTTTTCATTTTTGGCTTCCACACGAGACTGGAAACCCCCCAGGGCATGAAACATTTGCCCATCTGTCTCCCCGAGTTTTTCTGGGCTTCACATCTGTCTCTGAGTATCTAGTCTGTCTGAAATTTTCATTGTCTCTGTCTCTCTGTCTCCATCTCTGGATCCCTGAATGTCTCAGCATCTGTGGTTTTCTGGTTTTGAGTGTTTTAGGGTCTCCGTTTCTGGGTTGCTGTCTAAAAGGTCTGAGTTCTCCAAGTCCCAATCCCTCAGTCTCTCAGTCTCTGTCTCCTGGGTATCCTGGCCCTGCCAGGCTGGGCATTACCCCTTTGGCCTGAGGGGGCCTCTGGGGGGGTCCTTGCTGCCCAGCCTGCCCACAGCGAGGCCAGGCTAGGGTAGGCCCCCGCCCAGCCCGCTCCCTGTTCCCTCCCTCCCTCCCTGCTTGCCTCACCACAGGGTTTGATGAATCAAACTCTTTGTCTGGGTGGGATCTCCCCCAGCCAGCTGGGCAGAGAGAGGGCTTCCCCTGCCGGAGCAGCCGAACAACATCAGCAGCAGGCCTTGGCTGGAGAGGTGAGGGGCTGCGGGAGGGCAGCCTGCGAAGGGCCACGGGGCAAGGGCTGGAGGGCTCAGACCACTGATCATTAGGTCTGTCCTGAGGCTCCAGCAGCCTCCCTGGGGATGACTTACTGCCCAGAGAAGGCCCGTTCAGCCTGGCCCAGTCCTGGGGCTGGGAGCTGGGGTAGGGAAGAACCCCTCTCTCACCCCAAGCTGGGGGGCTGGGGCACTTTCCTGCCCTTCTCCTGGGATGACCCAGTCTGATCTGGGTGGTGGCCCGCCCGCTAGTCTGTGACTCTCCCAGCCAACTTGGCATGGGTGTGGGCACCACTCAGGGCTGAAGGCTGCAACTCCGGGCCTGGGAGGGGAAGTTGGATAACACCAAAGCAAGGACTTCTGGGTCTGTGTGTTTGTATCTGCAGCAGGGTGTGTGAGTGTGAATGGAACAGCAGTGTGAGAAAGCTTGAGTGGGTAGGTGACTATCTGGTGGGTCAGCATGTGTGTGTGAAATCCGAGTGAATATATGGACTTCTGTAAAAAAGTGTGTGTAAATGTATGAGCCTATGAATTTGAAATGTCTGAGTGTATCAGTGAAAGTGTGTGTGTCAATGTGTGTGCTCGGGAGAAAATGTGTGTGCATGAGTGTGGACAGACGGGAGTTTGTGTGACAGTTTGTGTCTGATCCCATGCCCCAGTGAGAGTTAGGAAATGTGCAAGGTGCCTAAAAGCACCGATTCAGAAGCTAGACTGCCTGGGTTTGAATCCTGGCTCCACCATTTACCAAATAACAATTGCTGTGCCTCATTTTCCTCACCATAAAATGAGGCTAGTAATAGTATCAGCTCAGGGTTATTGTGAGGATTAAATGAAATAATATATGGAAAGTACTTGGCCTGTCATTCAGTAAATGCCAAGTAAGCCTTAGCTTTTACTATATAGTTAGGTGTGAGAGTGCTTATACAGATGTGTGTACACATGTGTACACAAGGGTTTGTCCAGGCCTCCAGGACATGGTGGCTTGCTGGCCCGCCCTGTTACCCTGTGTCTTGCTCTGATGCCTTCTCCTCTGCAGGCCCAGGTGGGTGGCAGAGCAACAGAGGAATGGACTGTGGGCCACCTGCCACCCTCCAGTCCCATCTGGCTGGGCCACCTGGCACTGCCCACCACCCAGTAGCTGTGTGCCAGCAGGAAAGTCTGTCCTTTGTACAGTTGCCCACCCTGCAGCCCCCAAGCCCTGTGTGTCTGGATCTCTTCCTCGTCGCTCCAGAGGAGCTGCAGGCGCCTGGCAGCCGCTGGTCCCTGGGGACCCCTGCTCCTCTCCAAGGGCTGCTATGGCCATCATCCCCAGGAGGCCCAGACACTGAGATCTCTGCCAGTGCAGGAATGCGGCCCAGCAGGGCTGGCAGCTGGCCACACTGTCCTAGTGCCCAGGCTCCAGCTCCAGAGGGACCCTGGAGTTCCCAGCACCCACAGCCACAGCGCCGGGCCAGCCATGGCTCAGAGAAGAAGTCAGCCTGTGAGTTACTGTGGGTGGGGGAGTGGTAGCCTAGTGGGGCAGATAGGAGAGAGCCTGGGTGGCTCTTTTAGGACTTTTAAGCCCCAGAGTTCCCCAAATAGGCAGGACAAGTGATAGATTTTAGCAATAAGGGAGCTGGGGCTCAGGGAAGGCAAGTGATTTGTCTGAGGTTACAAAGTGAGTGGCTATCCTGGGCTCCTTGGCCTTTTGCCCACCCTTTGCCCACTGCAGTCAGGCAGTCAGGCACAGTGCTTTCTCTCTACCCCTCTTGTTGATCCCATTACACTGGAGAAAGATCCTGGCAAAAAACATTGGCCATTCTCTTGGGCATGTCCCCCAGATGCTCAGGGCCACAGAGCAGCTGCAGGGAGAGGGTGGGGAGAGACCCAGTGGATGCCAGCCTCTGCTCTCACCCCGCCGCTTGCAGGGCGCAAGATGCGGGTGTACCAGCGTGAAGAGGCCCTTGGGAGCCCCGAGGCCCATCCTGTCTTCCTGGAGCCTAGCCGGGTGACAGAGCAGGCACTGAGCACAGAGGAGCCTGGGCCGCTGGAAATGCCTGGGTCCACCCGAGTGGGCCTCGAGGGGCCTGAGCGGAGGCGCTTCTCAGCCTCTGAGCTGATGACTCGGCTGCACTCTTCCCTGCGCCTGGGGCGGAATTCTGCAGCCAAGGCACTGACTCCAGGGTCAGGCACTGGAGTTGCCCAGGAAGGTACCAGCTCCTCCTCCCCTGGGCCCTAAGAGCAGCCCAAGAGCCAGATGTGGGGTGGGGCACAGCTCACATTCACTGGATACCTGAGATTGGGGGCTGGTTAACTGGAGTGTGGTGCCCCAGTGCCCAGCACCACTCCTGGGGCCACCCTCTCTCAGCTCTTGCCCTCTCCAGGGAAAGCGTCTGCAATGGAGTCGCGCAGTATAGAGATGAGGGTGGACGCTATGGCGATGTCAGCCCCTGTTGACCTGAGCAGGGGCCATGGCAGCTGGCCCGAGCCCAGGTACTACTTCCCACTCCGGGCTCGGGTCCAAGGCGGGGTACCGGCGAAGAAGGGCTCCGACACTTCCTTTCCTAGGCTGGATGCGCAAGAAGAGCCGGCTCTGGGTTCCAGGAGCGCCAGCGAGCGGCGCCAGTCACGGTTCCTCCTTAACTGTACGTGGGATGTGATCACGGAGGAAGGGGTTGGGGGCTTGGGGGTCCTGGGAAGCTGGGATTTGGAGAGTTGAGAGGTAGGGATTTTGTGAGAGGGAGAGAACTGAACTCTCAGTATCCAGCACAGGGGCTAGCATACAGTTGGTACTCAAGCAGTGTTTGTAGAATGAGTGAGTGAATGAATGAATTCACTGTGTCCCGCTATCCGAACCGTTGAAATGGCTAGTTAAGTGAGGCGGGCCCTTGGGGGAGACGGGGTGGGAGGGGTAAGCCAGGGGGGAGGCGGGGTGGGAGGGGGAAGCCAGGGAGGAGCCGGGCCAGGCCGGCAGGAGCCCCACGGTCCTCCTTCGCCCCTCTCCCCACCCAGCCGTCCTCTACCAGGAATACAGCGACGTGGCCAGCGCCCGCG